CGGTCCCTACGCAGGCTGATCAAAGCGGTCACCTACCCGCTTACTGATCGCAACCAGTGATGCGTGACTTCGGTGTTCTACTAGGAACCGTCTCTTTAAAATCAAGACACTGTGGGACTCACGTTGGTAGAAAGGAGTTCAGTTTAGTCAAGCTTTTATTGTTCCATTTTTGTAGGATTTAATATTTCTAGGTTTTCTGTTGTAGAATTGACGTCTTCATTAATGGAAATATTATCTTGATCAGAGTTAAAATTTTGGAGTACTGGTGGAAAGGAACTAGTCTGTCTTTCTTCTGAAGATTTTGCTTTTTTTACATTCAATGTTAATGATCCACTAAAGGTAAGGAGCGCTGCGAAGTTCGTTGATAGTATTGCCTCGTTATTGCTTTGATAGTATAGTAGACTCGTTACTGCAAAAGATGATGGAAGATTAGTAATCATAATGTTAAGGATGTCAATGGAATATCGGCCAGAAATGTGGGTATATTTTAGTTGTTCTGATGCATAGTTTTTTATTTTATTTCGCGGGGTTGATTTCCGGGTGTGTTATTTATTCTAAAGCCCCAAATAGAATTCTTGGCATTAAAATCTACAAATGCAATACTGTCAATGTTTGAATTGAGAGGGTATTTGAAATAATTTTCCCTGAGAAGTAAATAGATGATGTCTTGAGGTTTCTGATGCTAAATTGAATAATAATTGAAGTTTGATCCCGATTTTCCTTAGTGTTGATTTTTAAAACAGTATTTTGTGTTAATTAAAATGCCACTACCACCATCAGTGTGGATAATTCGATCACATTTACAAGTGTTATAATTAGAAATCTTAAGTATATTGCTTGGTTTGATGAGTGTTTCTATAAATGATATAATGTCTGGATTGCATCTTGATATGAAATCAAGAAATTCCGCAAATTTGGAAAGAATATTCTTTGCATTCCACAAGGCAACTGTAAGAGGAGAAAAGAATAGTTTTTATTGTTCGTAATTCATGTTTGAGAGTCCTTGTTTTTATTCTGAGAAAAAGGAGTTAATGTTATTTTGATTTTTAAAAAACGAAAATACACTTAGTTAGATTATTGCTTACCTGTCGAAAAAGCATATTTGGAATAAGTTGAACAGGTTTCATATTATTGCGCATGATACTAGTAAAACTCATATGAGTTCTTGAGAAATTAGAGTCGAATTTTCGTTGATAATCAAACGATCATCTATTGTCAGTTTTGCTTTGTATTTTTAAGCAACTTTTTTCTGTACTTTTCTATAGTAAATTAAAATAGTACATAGACGCGAATTTTTAAAATTGAAATCATAGCAAAAATGGGAAAAGCAATCACAGAACTAAACCATAAATTTGATGCCACAACGTTTTTGGAAAAAATTTACTTTTGTGCTTTATTACTCTTTCATAATAAGGTATTTAATTTAAAGTGTTACTTTTTTAATTTTGGATATCATGTTTTAATCAGTTCTTAAGAGTAGTATTTAACACTAGAAAGACGGAAAATTAGTATATACCTAGATTGCCAAAAAGCAGTCAAAATGACTGGATTGTGAATGCGTAAATAAATTTGCTTAAAATTAATTATAATATTTACAGTTATATAACAAGTTATTAGTAAGTATTAACAATAAAAAAAATTATATGTTGTACAAAAAGCCACAAAATTCTAAGAATTTGTGTCATTATATACATCATTGTTTTTCTAATTGAAATTAAAAGCAGGCAAAATGACTTCCTTAGGCAATCTAGTGTTAAAGAAGTTCAGGATTATATAACTTTTTGAAATGCATTGTATATCTTACGTTTCTAAAACTTTTAATTAACTTTTAAATAGACTGTAAAAATATTATGACTTAAGCTATTAATTAACTATCTTTCTTGCAGTGTATTTTGAGGGATTTGTCTCAGATTGGTTGCGTAAGTATAAATAGCTCCTTTCTAATTATTTCTTAACAGCGTTCAGACCAGTAACAGTTTTGGAAAAAGGAAACTTTTTTTAATTCAGAAAACTTTTGGAGCATAGGGCTTCTATCATAGCTTTCCATCTTACTCTAGTTGTGGCCAGATATTTTGCCTCTCTCAATGTTTTCCCTATTGTTTTCAGTTCGTTTACAATCGTCATGCGCCAAGTATTTTTATAGATTGTCTTAAGTAAGAACTCGTCCAGCCGTTCGTCTGGACCCGTGGCGATGACTATGATAACGAGGTATAACTATTTCGAGTAGGGGTGTGGAGTCATTGTTTAGGACAGGTTTTGGCTGGGGTTGCGAGAAAAAGGGAATCTTTTTCTTCGGTCTATTTATTGTGTTAGTCCTAGAGTAAATGGAAGATACCCTCCCTGAAATGCGCTTTTCTTGCTTCCATAGCAGCAGACGGCCTCAGACTTTGTAGCGGGGGGTGGTCTTTTTCCGTTGACAAACTATAGGTCTTCCTCTTTTTCTATTCCTCTGAGGGTTCCAACCAAACACTTGTTTTACTTTAAATTTATCTAGTTTACGTAGAACATGATCAATTCATTTCCTTTTACGTTCTTTAATTTACAGATCAATCTGTTTCTGTTTTGCTTCTCTAAGGATTTCTGCGTTACAAAAACAGTTCTTAATAAATACTTGAAGTTTTTCATGTTATTTTCATTGTAGTGCCGTGTCTCAGATCCAATTAGTAGAACAGATTTAAAAATGGTACTGAAACTTCTAATTTTTGTAGTATTCTTTATTTTTTAACTTTCCAGAATTTATTGAGAATAGCGTAACTGCTTCGGACTTTGTTTAATCTGTTTAGCATATCTCCACCAGTAACGGTATATACCAGTATCTGTACCTGTTTTAGTATATATCCACCATTAGTATATCTCCACCATTTATCGTTAATTATACTTACAAGATACGTAAAATCTGCTTACCTCCTCTAATTTATTATTCTCTCAGAATATGACATTTAATTGTTTAGGATTAACTTTCAAAATTTTAATTTCATTTTGGTTGATAATAAGTTCCATTTTTTTTTCATTCTACCTTTAAGATGTTTATGCTTGTTTGCATGTCTTGAAGGGTGTTGCTCAGTAAGCATAAGTCGTCCACAAAATCAAGAGCAGAAAGGTATTCAGCAAGGTTTCATCTTATGCCCTTTTTATTCTCGGATACTCTCTTTATAATCCAGTCAATAGCAATTAAAAAGATTATTGCAGAAAGTAATACAGCCCTGTTTCCTCCTCATACCGTATTAAAATCAATGTACATTATGCAGCCTATTTGATTTTATTTGATTGAAGATTCATAGATTCAACCTGGGCCTGACTATAGAAAGCTCTAGCCAGACCATTCTAAGACAACCAATTAGTTTTTGACAAAATAATCTCTTTTTTGCATAAAATTTCGGAAAGGAGCCAAAACTCTCTTTGCAGGAAAACTGCATTCATTCTGTCATTATTTTCTCGTATTGGTCGCTGTTCATAATTCTTCTAATCAGAACTAGTGGTCATCCTCTATGGCGTGAAAATATGTCCAAAGCATTGGTTTTTAAGAAGTTAAAAAATACTAGAAAATTTAAACTTGATTCAATTTATCCGCTCGCTAATGAATAAAATTTTTCTTTCAATGGAGTTATTTTTTTATTGAAGTTCTATTTTTCGTTTAATTAAATGATAAACGCTGAATTTTGAAGTATTTTTTGTTCAAAATATGACCTTTTAGTAAAAAATTTTTTAAGAAAAGGAGAAAAAAAAGAAACTAACCTAGGAGGAAAAGACTTTCAAAATTTTTTATTAATATTACGCTAAATTATCACATACTTTATTTTATCGAAAGAATTTTTTTTATAAAAATGAGTTTTTAGATATTTATTAGAATTCACAACATTCCTAATAAAATTTAAATATTTTTCAGAATATAAACACAACTGTCGACCTATTTGAACTATTGAGAAACGTAAGTAAATTTATATTTATATTTTAATGTTTGAGAAAGTACAGTGCGCAAAATAAATAACAGACTTATACAACTTTTTTAACTCGTTTAAAACATAGGTTGAGGACTTTCTTCGATTCTCACGGTTCGGTTAAAGGGAAAACTTAAAATGTTAATTCTTGCATATTTCAGTCTAAAAATAAAATCCAGAAAGCGGATGAAAAAAGGAATAATAAAATGTGAGAACGCATTCAATTTTGAATAATAAACTAAGAAGGAGGAGATTTTAGATAATGAAATAACATTGAAAAATTAGTTACAGCTTTTTATCTTATATCTATATACATATAGCACAATAGAAGCAAAAATGATTAAAGAAAGAGAGAATAATGAAGAAAATTAAGAAAAATAATAATGAGTTTTATTAACTGCGCAAAAGCTTTCAAGTATATAGAACTCATAAAATAAGTTAAAAATACAGAGAAAACATGGAAAAAATCTAGTAAAGAGTAATCAAAAGAGAAGAAGAAAAATTATTAAAATAAAAAATTTTAAAAATATTCAAAAAAAATTTTTTATTGAAAAATAATATAAACAAAAGATATAATCTCGTCCTCAGGTCATACGATTATATCCACAAAGAGTTCTAACATCGTATTAGTACAGCCAAAGCCAAATATATTGATGTAATGGTGTGGGGAGCACCCCAAAAACTAAAACGAAAATAGGACATATTAAGTAAAAAATATACGAAATGATCTAATAATTCTATAATAATTATTTTAATAATAATTATTTTATTTTCCGACTTTTTAATGTCAAATTTTTTTTTGAATATTTAAAAAAATATTTTAGTTATTTTTCTTTTTCTCTTTTCATTAATCTTTATTAAATTTACCCCCATGTTTTCGGTACATATTGATTCATCGCTCAAATTTTGACTATCGTCGTACTTTTACTCTTACTGATACTTTTGTGACGTAAATCTCTAACTATGTACGATACAGTTCTTAGTAAGGATACATATAATTATTATGATTGTTGAAAGTAAACTTCTGAATAAGTGTTATTAAAATGATGGTATATATTGCAGTGCAGCGATGGCAAAGGACTTCTGTCTGAACTCTCGAACATTGATAAGCTAGTTCCTGAAATCGGTAGTCCACTTATCATTCCACCGACTACAAACGATGCACTCTGCGGAGCTGCATCATGTGTGTCACGTACTATCCCTGCAGATAAAGTGGCTATTTTAAGACATGCCAACAGTGCTCAGCGACCTCTCAAAAGCAGCTCCGGTATCAGCCAGGTTTGTTTGGAATCAGACACACACAAGTTACTTTGAGTAGTTGTTAGTACTCCCATGTATCAATCTATGGATAATGAAATATGAAAATTTTTCTGTAATTTAATAATGAAATTTGTAATAACTGAGCTGTCCTTGCTTTGTTTTCATTTATTATTACGCAATTTTAATTAAAAATAAAAAATCAACATGTCTATATAAGAAATGCACAATACTTATTCATTTATAGTAGTTTAAATTTCGCTTAATATCACATATCTTCATAGGTATTTTCATATGTATTGTTTCACTTATTTTCATTTGTTTTTATGCGTTGCTTCATATTTTTCATGCGTTGTTTGATCCCCTCCCAATATCTTTTCTCTCATTGTGTTGTTCATTTAGCCCATCGAAAACAAGACTTTACGTGTTGCTGTGGTTTAAACTAGCCTACGACTGCTAAGCTATTTTAGGCATGATTGCTTATGTTAGTTACTTAATATAAATTGCTTAGATAATTTTTTATTCTTGATATATTATACAGTGTTTCTGGAGTGACTGCGATCAATATGTATTTTAAGAACTCGCGTCAAAGTAAAAAAAAAATGTGCGCATTAAGACCTTCGTATTCATATTTAAGAGAAGAAAAAAACAAAAACGTTGTTAAAATCTAGCGAATTGTTAGTGAGGAAGGTGGTGAAATATTAAAACCTGATTGATTGCCAAAGGGAGAATAGTTGGAGGTTTTACTAAAACATTTTCAAATGTCATCGGGTAATCATTATTGTAATATTTTCGTCCCCTTCCTCTCTAGATATTCAACAGATTTTGAAAGCGTATATATATATATATATACATAAAAACAGAAAATGCCTTATAAGTCTGGGTTTAACATTTAATTCATTACAAACTATAACTTTTTTCGCGATATAGTTTATAATGAAAGTTACTCACACTATATTAAATTTTTGAGTAAATAGGTTGAAAATTGAAAGGGCAATTTAAAGTCTGCCGGAGACCATGAGTTAATGATTTTCATCAAAATCAGTTATCACTTATCTACAATTCACATATCACTTATTATAAATGCCAAATATCAGAATCACTTACTATAAATGCTTAATATCAAAATGTGTTCTGTATTTTTTGTCATTTCTATGATTTCAAAAACTGTTGTCGAATATGGAGATCTGCAATAATCAAAAATCAAATAAATCGCTTTAATTTTTTTAATTGAAATTGTTTTACTAAAACTGAAATTTAATTTTTAAGTTCCTCTTGGAGCAAATATCAATAAACATTTTAAAAGCTACTTTAGAAGAAACATATTGATTTATTATAACCTACAGTATCTTGTAGAATTATACGCACCAATATCTTACAGAATACGTACTCTAAATATATTTTCATCTCAATGAAAAAGCGTGAATAATAAAACTTTCTTTAGTAGTTGGACGTATTGTAGTTTCGTTTGACAAGTTCATTGACACGATTATGGGTAGAAGATGACTTTTCAGAAAAATAATTACTTTAATGCATCTTTTAAAAGTCCTATTAAAAAAGAGTAATTGGCATATACTTTTATCACAAAAAGCGATTACAGCATTAAATCTGTATTGTTCAGGGACAAAAAGCTTTTAATCAGAAATACAGATAAAAAAAATTATTCCGATAAAATTTTATTCATTATATATTTATCACATAATGCTTGATACAACTCGTTTGATTTCAATTACAACTCATTTAGTTAATGGGTTTTTTATTTACAATTTCGTAAGACATCTTTCACAATATTTTCCAAGAAGAATAGCCTTATAAAAATCATTTATCTTCAAAAATAATTAGTTTACGTTTTCAGCATGTGTCTTTTCTAAAAATTGCTTTTTCCAAGATATTCATTTGATGCAAAATGTTTTTATAGGTAAAACATTTAAAACATTGTTTGCGTTCATAATGTTCATCCGAATTATTAGCAGCATAGCAAACGTTAAACAAAGTGTACAAAATAGTTTTGATAATTACAATGCTCTACACCTTATCCTTTATTTATTAGGAATCAGGAGTTTTGAGCCAAAAGCTCCATCAAATTGTTTCAAGTTTATACAATTATCAACTTCGGTTTTATTCCATTTAGGCTTAATATATAAATTCATTCAATTCGGAGAGCAATTGCTGTTTCTTTGCGACGATTTTCAGTGCAAAAAAGCAAATTTCTCCCGAATTCTTTGGAGAATTGGCATTTATGGAAGCTGGTTATCGCTGCAAATAAAAAGGAATGATCTCATTAATGTATTGGCAAAGTTTCAAAATGTTCGAGGAAGAATTAGAAAAAACTATAATAGATGTGTAAATGTTGCATTATTGATAAATTCTGCCGTCACTCTGGCATTATTACTAACAATACTTTATGCAGCTATTTTTGAAGAAACTCTAGCCAATTCCTTGCTTTCGGAAATAATATTCTTGAGAAATATTACATTACGATCTCCATTGAAGGAAATTAGCATTATTAGCTACTATATACCAGGAAGAATTTTAATTACCTCTATGCTTTCGTTGCTCACAGTATTCTACATTGCATGGTGCATTACATTAGCCAAGCTCTTGAAAGAGTGTTCTTTTTTGGTTACTCATCAATCAATTGATTATTTTATGCGCCAGTACGAATTCGTCCACGATTTGGTCATTTTGTCTGAAGTTGCACTATCAATGAATGCTTTTTTTCTTTGTTCTTCGCATTTTATAGAACTGTCTCAAGTCTTTGCAAAGGCTCTTGGATTTTGGGCCTTAGCGTTTGACGATGTGCGACTTCATTTGCAGACACTAATATTTACAACACTGTCGTGCATTGGATTTTTCATCGTAGCTTACTCCGCTGCAAATGTAAGTAGAGAGGATGAGACTTTGAGAAAAAAAGTAAAGAGAACAGCTTTTCATTTCAGTTTATCAAATGATACCAAAGCTGACGGGAAAAGACTACTAAATTTTCTGAATTCTAGAGAGGAACTTGTACTAACTGCTTGGGGCATGCTTCAGTTTACAAAACATTTTCTCTTAGCTTCTATTGGTATCTTGAGTACATATAATCTCTTGATTTTACAAATAGATACAGATAAAAGTTACAGTAAATAACCGAATGTTACAAATACTGTTTTGTGAAGTTCAAAGTTTTTTTTATAAGTATTGAAATAAACAAAAAAAGTTTCTGCAAAATTGGCATGCAATTTCATTTAAATCTGAAAATTGTTCCTTACTAGCTTTATCTAAAAAGCAAAAAATTAAATAAATTCTTAGTATTTCAAAAAATTTGTTTTGCTTGAGAACAATTTTTTTCGAAAAAAGAAAATGACATGAAGCAATTTTCTTGATACGAGAATAAAGTTTTTGAGATCATTAATTTTTTAAACATTAATAGTATTATCTAAAACGACATTTTCATACTATGCTTAACGTTTTTCAAAAACTAAAATTCATATTTACATAATCCTCATAATACGTAATACATACATAATCTTCATTGAGATTGTATCTATGTTTCCTTGATACATTTAAAAAATTTCACAACAGTTTCATTCACTTTTATTGAAAAGAGATATAAACATATACATGTTCTAAAACGACCGTGTTCAGTATATATTTTTAGAATCCTTGGAAAAAAAGGAAGTCAAAGTATAGATAGTTAGGATTGTAAATTATAGTTTTCTAGAGGTGAAAAACAAAAAAAAAGTATAATAACTATCTGTCGACCCACTAGTCAGAAAGGTGATATGAAAAACAACAAAATCAGTTTGAGGTCTAATGAAACTTCGATGGGATAATTTTAATTGATCTCAAATGTATTTCAGGGACATTAGAAATAAATAATTAATCACAGATTAATTTCCCTCATATATTCTATTTTTATTCACGTATTTTTTTTTACATCATCAAATCTTTTTATGAATATAAGAACAGTGTTTCTAACAATATTTATCTATTATAATATTGTAACAATATTACTCAAATATAATTTTGCAGCAATATTAAAAATGTCCGAGATTGAACCAGAATGTTAATACATTAAACTATATCGGCATGAAAATTTGCTTCACCTTAAGTGAGATTTTAAAGTAAACCATGCTTTTGTTAAATTAAACATTAATTATTATATAATTAGATACTGGATATATAGTTAAAAAAAAATCAGGTACGAAGATATTGATCACCTTGAACCTTATTAAAATGGCAGAAACTTTGTGAAAAATTACGGTTTAAGGAGCAACATTAATTTTAACAGATCACTTGGATCTTTCTATATGGTCTGAAACAATATACAAAATTTACCTGCTTAAAAAGTTGTAAAAAAAAGTTGTTGTTGTCGCTGTTAAAAAAAATAGATAAAAAGTAAGCAACAGTCGACATGTTCCAAGCGCTTCAAAAACAGGCGCCCATTTTCACGACTTGCCAGACGTGAATGAAAAGAAACAAAAGTGACTTTATTTATTATACAAAAGTGTTCCTTTATCGCAGTCTTGAATATATATTTTTGGAATTTTTGTCATGAATGAACTAGAAAAAATAAACACACAAGGGGCAGCAAATTAATGCTGAATGATAATAGAAAAAAATATTACCAAATATCTGATGATCATTATTGAGAAAGGTTAGACTGAAAACATTAAAACATGTTTGATTGCTTTAGGAAACTTGTAGAAGCTGAGAAACAATTATTCGAAGCATTTGGCAATCCGTTTCGATACATCTTTCTTCAATAGTTATTATCATATTTTCATGGAATTTCTTTTCCCTCTTTTAAATAAATTTAAAACTCCTATTTTGTGCATGAAATTTTGACTTATTTTTTATAAATATTCTATAAGTACATATTTTATATATTGACTATATAGCCAATTAGAAGTGAAGTAGAAGTTTTTAATAAGAAGATAACCGATGAGAAGTTTTTAAAAAAGTGTTGCTTTCATATTGCCACACACACAAATAGTCTGCTTATTAGATTGAACATTAAACATCTCAGGCAACTTGGGCCAAACACAAGAACAAGTAACATCTGCATATTAAATTTGATTTATTATTTTAAGCTCATTTAATTTTTTTTACTGATTTTTTCTGACATAGGCTTCTTTAGTGTGATATCACAGTTAGAAGCAAT